TTTTTTTTTTAAGTGAAAAATGACTCTTCTACATTACTGTTAGAAAATTTGACGGTTCATTAGGTTGTCATCTAAATAAAATTCGAGCAAATAGTATTGTATTTGTAATGGCGAAAATATCCAAATGATAAAATAAACATGAACTTTTTTTACAGTGAAACTAAACTTAATTACTCGGTTAAAAAACNTCAACATCTGAATAAAATTCGAGCAAATAGTATTATATTTGTAATGGCGAAAATATCCAAATGATAAAATAAACATGAACTTTTTTTACAGTGTTAAAATTAAAAAACTTAAGTACTCGGGTTCCTATGATTTTATTATTTTACTAATAACTTATTCTGGTATGTTATATTGAAATATCTGATATATGTTATATTGAAGTATCTGATATATGTATTTTGAAATATCTGATATATGTATATTGAAATATCTGACATATCTGGAGAAAAAAAAATTTCTAACCAAATGTTCTTTGAGTCAGGAAGAGACAAAAAATACCTGTTGATTTTTTTGAAATATACTTTCTATCACAAACGCCTTAAAACTTTGTTCTCGATAAAAATAATTTCAGATGGTTTTAATCCTTCATCTCTTATTAACCTCGTTATATCATGCTTTTGATCAAAGTTCAGCAGCGTGTGCGTTCTTTCTCTCCTAAATATGAATTTGATCCCTACACACGTTTTTTATTCGATTACTTATAAGGATTCGTAAAATATATATTAACGGCCCGGATTAGAGAATAACTGAATTATCTTCTTCAAAAATGGCAGTTATTTAATTTAAATTTGATACTTTTGTGTGTGCTCATATCTCAGTGTCAACCATATCGGTGTCACGTATCAATGACATCCAATAAAAATCTAACTGTCAATGAACTTATTAACTGAGGTGAAGGGATTAATTGAATGCTTAATAAAATAAGAGCTTCCTTTGATGATATTTGATCAAAAATTAGTGGTGAAATCACTAATTAGTGTTTTTTAAATTAGTGGTGGAAATTAGTGGAAATTAGTGTTTTTTAAATTAGTGGTGAAATCGTCTAATAATTATTTTTAAAAATCGTTGCAAGAAAGGTTTGCAAGGGTATTTTTTTTTTCAGAGTCATGCGAGTTAATTCAAATCAAATAAATATACTATATGTAGGGGAGAGGGGGGCACATGTGAACAAATTTTTTTATTTCTTCACTTTTCGAAAAATATCATCAATTTTTCATAGTAAAAAAGCCCATATGTTTCAATAGTCTTTTCTTTGTCTTGTGGAATTTTTTGAGATTTTTCAATAAAATATTTCTTTACTTTATAATATTTTAGAAAAATGACTTCAATTGTTCACATGTGCCCCTCTTGGGGGCACATGTGAACAGGCCTGGGGCACATATGAACAAGATTAAAAACACAAAGCAATCATCATATTTCAGAGAAAAAAAATCTTTAATATAACAGATATAGATACGCATTATACTGAGGGGGTTGTAGCTTACTATGTGAATTTAAATTGTACAACAGTACTGTCAATAAGAAAATAATTTTTCAGCTGTACAATAATTTTTCCGTAATTGGGTTTTTCGCAACTTCATGTTCCACGGGTGTTGTAATGGGCCTTTTTCTTTCTTCTCAAATACTCTTTCATGCTTTTTTTTCATTTTTTCTATCTTTTCATTTTTAGCTTTAACTCTCAGGTGTATCAGTTAATATGCGTGATGCACGATCAACCATTTAATAAAAAAAAAAAATTTTAAAGGTAAAATTAATAAATTAATTATTGAAAATTAAATAATAATAATTTTAAATGC